TATAAATAAATGCCTGAGGGTTACATATTGACTTAGAAAACCACAAATTAACATTATCTATATTGCGTTGTATTCTTATTCATTTTGTTAAACATTTCTGAATTACATTTCATCTGAAGAAGCCTGCAAGTTTGACACTTCTGCTCTAGAGTACAATTATGAGACAGCCAAGAAGTAAAAGAATTTATTGTTGTTCAGTCGTGTCTGACTTTTTGTGACCTCATTTGGGGTTTTCTTGCCAAAGATACTGGAGCAGCTTGCTACTTCCTTCTCCAGCTCATTTAACAGATGACAAAACTGAGGTAAAGAGTTAAGGTTAAGTGACTTGCCCAGGGTCACACAGCTAAGTGTCTGAGAACAGATTTGAACTTGGGTCCTCCTGACTCCAGCTCTGGTGCTCTATCCACTATACCACCTAGTTGCCCCAAGTGAATGAATGAGGTAGGCTTAAACCTTAGCAATGAAAAAATAAGGTTAAAAATCTAAGTCTAAAGAAGATTCTTTTGACAGTGAGGGCTGATAAACTCTGAAATTATTTACCAAGGAAGTTCTTTTTAAATGCAACCAATACAGAGTTTCATCTGTATGGAAATTTTTTATTATGACCCTACCTGAAGTGGGGGGTGGGATGGGGGTGGAACAAATAAAATGATCTTTCCAGGTCCCATTCTAGGAGTCCTAACTGAAAACCAAAGACTGCCAGGGTATGAAAATTACACTCCCTGGAGAAAAACAAACAACAAAGAATTATTGAAAATAATCCTTTTGTTTAAGGGAGGGAAACTATCCCTTCAGGGCAGACCTCTTCCCAGTTTTATTTTGTGAGAAACATGCCTTGACTTCTACAATTTTCAAATACATAGTGAGAAATCAAACCAAATAGCAGCTTAGATATGAATGGAATTTAAGGGCTAGTCTCAAAATGGTTACAGATGAGGGCATCTGATTACAAAACTCTCTAATTATTTCTCTAACTCACTGAATCTAAATAAATGAAATTTCCTAATAGCGCAATAAGAGTGAGTGGATATTTGAGTCTGGTTCATAAGAGGTATACTTGACAGATGAAGACTGAAGCACTTGGCTGCATTATATGGTACAGCAGATTACTATCTTAGCTTTGTCGGTGGAAGCTTGGGCTCATGAATTGGGCACCCATTGTAAGCGTGGCCGGACTGCATTTAGAAACAGTACTTCATCACAGCTGTAGCTTACAGAATCATTTCAACTTTTCTATTAAAAAAATTAATGCTATAATTTCTATTCATGGAGTCGGATATGAGGGTTAAAGACCGTCAGGGATTTTTAACAAGGCAACATTTTCATCGTGTTTTTTTTTTCTAGGATCCTCTAAGGCATGAGACATCACCCTCCTCCTCTATAGCTGCTTCCCGTCCTTTTGTCCAAGTCTGTCTTCAGCGCCATCTTGTCTAGAAAACTCTTCAGTATTCTTTGATTAAGCTGTCACCATCATCCCACAACCCAGCACAAAGAACTCATTACATTACTATACATGGAAATGATTCTACTTGGTTTGAAACAGAACCAGATAATCTCCCCTGTCTCCCTCCCCAATAAATGAAAGTTACTTGAAATGCATCCACTTAACGATACACACAACCATGCCAGCCTGGCAGGGAGGGGAGGAGTGTTGGAAGGAGAAGGTCAGGAATTCCCAGCAGCTAGCAGAAATTCCCAAGGTCAAAAGACAGGCACCCTGGCAAGTGACCTAGCTAAGGGGCTGGAGTTAGCTTGTAGAAGGACCCAGGTCTTCCAGGTTATCTCCCTCTCATCAAAGAAGACAGACAGAAGTAATGTCAATGGAAACTTGTTAGAGCAGGAGGAAGGTCTTTCAGAATTTCCAAAGTGAGACCAAATCCTAGGACTGGCTAACCCTCTGCTCGGCTCCCAGACTGTCAGAATCACAGCATTTCAGAGTTGAAATGGATCTCGGAGGTTATCTACTCCAACCTTTACCTTAAAAACAACCCCCTGCTCAACATATTCAACAGTCAGCCAGCCTGTTCTGGAAGACATCCCAACAGCAATGGATGAGCAGATCTCATCCTAACTGTGTAAAGTGAAGAATGCAAAAAGCCTTACCTGGTAAATTTAAGGGCGGTGTGAATCGAAGGTAGGCAAAAGAAAGAGGACTGGATTTGGAGTCAGAGGACCTGGGCAAGTCAAGACCTCACTGGGTCTCAATTTCCTCATTTGTAAATTGAAGGAATTTGACAAGGTGGCCTCTGTGGACCCTTCGAGCTCTAGATCTCATGAACTTTTAAGGTCCCTTCTCTCTTTAAATCCATTCTTCTCTGAACTTACAATGTGTACAAGGATGTCCAAGGGACATAGAAAACAGTACCTTCAGAAAAAGCAACAAGTGCATCTGTGTCTCCAAAGAACGGAAAACCACCATCTAAAACCAAACTTATTATCATTCTCCCGAAACCTTCCCTTTTTCCTAATTTCCCTATTACTTTTGAGGGTACACCTTTCCCCCAGTCACTGAGGTACCATTCTTGACTCTTCACTCCCTCTCATCCCCCATATCCAATCAGTGGCCAAGTCCTGTTTTCTACCTTTGAAACAATACTCCTATACACCCCCTTTTCTCCTATGACCGCCATCTTAGTATAGGCCCTAATCACGTCACATCTGGACTACTGCAACAGCCTTCTGCTTGGCCTTCCTGACACAAGCCTCTCCCTTCAATCCATCCTCCATCCAAGTCAAACTGATCTTACAACAAAGATCTGACCATATCACATAAGCACACACACACACACACACACACACACACATCCCTTATTCAATTAACTCCAGCACTACCTTTCCAATCTTCTTACACCTTATTCATCCCCTTCCCCTCTTCCCCCAGTCCCACTGGCTTCCTTTGTTGTTCTTAGCAAAGGCCATTCCACCTCCTGATTCCGTGCATTTTCCCAGATCGTCCCCCAAGCCTGGAACGCTTTTACTCCTCATCTCCCCCCACCCCCACCCCACCCCTGCCACCTTCCCTTGCTTCCTTGAAGTACCAGCTGAAGTCTTACCTTCTACATGAAGCCTTTCTCTGTCCCCCTCATAGCTAATGCCTTCCCTTTGAGATGACTTCTAATTTACCATGTGTGTATGTATGTATATATGTACCTACATATATACATACATACGTTATATATGTATGAATGTATGTATAATCTTCTCAGTGCTTAGCATAGTGCCTGGCACATAGTAGGTGCTTAATAAATGCTTATTGATTTGTCTTAACCATCACCTAAAGGAATACCATTGCATTAATTACATCTTTAACTCACTGTCCATAAGGCCTTTCCAGATTCCCCCAGCTACATGTGTTTTCACACATACATACACCCCTCTCATCATGGAAATTACAGTTCCTTTGCATATATTTTATTTATATGTTTTTGTATGTTTACAACAGAAGCATCAAACATGTCCAACACTCCCAGGGAGGCCTGAATCAGATTAAAATGTGACCGAGAAATGGTTAATAAAATAAAAATAAGATAGAACATATAACATGTGGTTTTCTGGGTCAATGTGTGGCCAGCAGAGATCCTTAGCTACGGTTGGGTGGCACCTGTTTCTATTTGACTTTGACCTCACTGGTTGCCATGATTTTTCCTTTAAGACAATGTAAGTACCATAAGGACAAGGACTGCTTTGTTTCTGGTTATAAAAACTCTAATGCCTTGAAGAATAAAAGGTGATTAATAAAAGCTGAAGTTTCCAGTTTTGAATAGCTTTACTTTTTAATGTTTTCTCTTTTCTTTTGCTCCCTCTCTGATGAAGAGGCAGCGCTTCTGCTTGCCAAGGTCAACCTCTCCATTTGTTCTCTTGATCCTGCCCCCTCTGATATTCTTCAGGGCCTTGACTTTTGATTGCCCCCCCACCCCCCCCCCCCACCCCCCTCTCGTCTTCATCTCAGCATTGTGTATGAAGATGTCTGCAAAGCCAGAACAAAGACCTCACTGCATGCTTAACCTTGTTAGGCTATAGGATCATAGCTGAGAGTTTTAAGAGACCTTAGGGATCATTGAGTCCAACCTCCTTCATTTTACAGAAGAGAAAACTGAGTCACTGAAAGATTCAGTGACAGCTAGTGTCTGAGGTGGGATTTATACTTGACTCCAAATCCTGGGCCTTATTCATGACTACACCATGAAGCCTTTCTTCCCCCTTCTCCCAGTCACAGACTCTTTATAAATAGAGACCTGCCCTAGAGTACCCTAAATAAATTGGACAATACGGGGCAGCTAGGTGGCGCAGTGGATAGAGCACCAGCCCTCAAGTCAGGAGGACCTGAGTTCAAATCTGGCCTCAGACCAAACATTTGTCACTTACTAGCTGTATGACCCTGGGCAAGTCACTTAACCCCAATTGCCTTTAAAAAAAAATAAATTAGATGATAAATTTTGACTTATTGGGTAAGACTCATCTTTCATCCTTTTTTAAGAGGCTACAGTAAGAAATACAGATTTACAGTGAGGGTTTTTTGCTTAAATAATGCATAGAGATTGAATACAGACTGAATACCATTTTTCACTTTCTTTTTTTCCTTCCTTCCTTCCTCCTTCCTTCCTTCTTTCTCTTCCTTCCTTCCTTCCTTCCTTCTTTCTTCCTTCTTTCCTTCTTTCTTTCTTCTTTCCTTCCTTTCATTTTTTTGTTCAAGTCTTCTTGTATAAAATGACTAATATGGAAATGTTTTACATGATTGTACATGTATAACCTATATTAGATTGCTTACCATTTCAGGAAGGGGGAAGAGGAGGGAGGGATAGAATTTGGAACTGAAAACTTTAAAAAAATGTTAAAAACTGTCTTAACATGGTACTTGAGGAAAGTAAAATATTATATAAAAGAAAAAAGAATGCACAGAGGGAAAGGGGATATTCAGTGGAAACCTTTGAAGAACAGCTTTCATATAATAAGTACAACCATACACTCATGTTCTGGGAGTTCTAGTCATTATTACACACCTGTTTTTATAAGTTAGGCGCACGGTTCTCGTACCTTCACATTTCCCAGGCTGCTGTTCTTTGGAAGCCTGTTCCCATTTAGAAATAATGTCACAAATCTAGGAGGAAAATATAGAGCTGTTAGTTATAGCATTTTACTAAATCAGAATTTTAAAAAGAAAAGTGTATGTTTATAATGAAAAACTTCAATGACTATGATCAAGCGAAATGTACTGAAGCTTGCTATTTAAGCTGATGAAAATGGGTATGTAAAGCTTTCAGGTTAGGATTTTAATTACAAGCTGCTTTTTGGTCCACTTATCCTTTCAGACACACACACACACACACACACACACACACACACTAACTTTGGGCTATGGCCATTGATTTTTATTTAAAAAGAAAAAGAATCTTAATGCATGATCTCTTCCATGGGATTAGTAATACAAAGATTCCTGGAATTTACTTGTGATAGGTCATTGAATAATAATGATAATAATATATAATAATAATAATAACCATTTACACAGAGTGCTTAAAAGTTTTCAAAAGACTTTATAAATATTAACTCATTTTATCCTCAAAACAACCCTGGGAGGTAGGTACTATTATTATTTTTGTTTCATAGATAGGGAAACTGAGGAAGAGAGTGGTTAAGTGACTTGTCCTGGGTCACAATGAGTCTAGTTTTAAACTCAAGCCTTGGGCTCAGTTTCCTATCCACTGCACCATGTAGCTGCCTCATACATAACCAAAAAGAAGGACCATTTCAACTTCAGCTTTAGACTGAGATGAAGGTATTTTCTAAAGGGGTGTTGTAATGTAAACAACATTTTCTAAAATCCTCCAACTGAAGAAAAGAATAAAGAGATCTTTAAAACCCTAAGAAAAGGTCTGAAGGAAAACATAATTATCTTTACAGGGCCACTAGCAGACATTTTAAAAAGGTATAGAAGGAGTAGTTAACAAAGCAACTACTGTTTACTTGGCTCCACTCAACCAAATAAATAAGCTGACTATGTTGGCTAAATATTAGCACACCGGCTCCAAGCATTCTATTGCCAAGACTTGCCCTTGTAGCTTCTTACAAGGCAGAAGAGAATAGGATGGGTCCAGGTTAAAGGAACAATGTTACTGGATTATCTGTAGGCTCATGATGGAAAGGAAAGGAAAAACAAATATTAAAGGCAACCAAATGCTCTTAATGAACTAAACATAAAGAACTATGTATTTTGTGGGCGTGAGTATTCTCTTCACCAAAGATGATGCCAGTCACTCAGGGCCTTGGTAGACCATTTGAGAGATACTGTGGCCACATAAATCATTACCACGTAGTCCATGGGGTGACTTCTAACTCACTTCTAACTCAGCTGGGTTGGTTCTCAGAGGACAGAAATACATTTTATCATTTGGCTAATAATAATAACAATAATAATAGCTAATACTTACATAGTATTTTGAAGTCTGCAAAGCACTTTAAGAGTTATTTAATTTGATCCTTGCAAAAAACCCTAGGACATAGATGTTATCATCAATCCCTATTTTACACACGAGGAGACTGAATCGGATAGAGATAAAGTGACTTGCCCAAGGTCACACAGATAATAGGTGTCCAAAACTCTTTCCACTGTACCACCTAGCTCCCTTCCAACTTGGAAGAAATAATTAATAATAATAATAGCTAGTATTTGTACAGTGCTTTAAGGTTTACAAAGTGCTTTACAAATAACATCTCATTTTTAATCCTCACAATAAACCCTGAGAGGTAAGTCACATTATCTCCATTGAGATGAGGAAACTGAGGCAGACAGAGGGGATGTGACTTGCCAAGAGTCACATAGCTAATAAAGTGTCTGGGGCCAGACTTGAGCTCCAGTCAGTGGCTGAGGCAGAATTCAAACTCAGAACCTCCAGACTCCAAGTCCGACACTCTCCACTAGGAGAAACGGCAGAGTTCACAGGCCCCTGACACCGTCTTTGATATCGTGTCACTTCCATGCTGCGATGAGCTGCTACAGGAGGAATTTGGGACAGAGCTGAATTAATTTTTTTTTTTTAATTTTTGGACTAGACCTGTGATTTCATTTGTATAGGGAGTTCCTGGAACTCCCTCCCCCAATGCAGATTGCCACCCACTTTGAGATTTATGACCTTAGTGCTGCCTAGGGACCTGCCCAGGGTCATAGAGATAGGACGTGCCAGATTTGGGGCCTGATTCCCACTGTGCAATCTGTCCACTGTGCCACGCTGCTGCCTCTCTTTGCAGTGTATAAAAACTGTTTGAATTATTGAAGGATGTACTATACAGCTCAAGGGCTCAAAAGAAACTCACCAAAGCTGTTTGGGGGTATACTGTAACTTAAGGTGTTTTTGTCAAATTACTAGACATTTTTTCCTTATATCTTGAGTTTGCATGATAATGGGATAAAAGAAACAGACTTGGAAGGGACTTTTGGGGTCAGTTAATCCAGTCCCCTCATTTTACAGATAAGGAAACTGAGGCCCAGAGTGGTTAAGGGATTTCCCAAGGTTACCCAGGATTTGAATCCAGGTCATTTGACTCCAAACCTAGCATTCGTTTAACAGCTAGTCAGTGTCAAGTGTTTGGTTTGAGGACGGATTTGAACTCAGGTCCTTCTGACTTCAGAGCCGGTGCTCTATCCACTGTGCCACCTAGCTGCTCCCAAACCTAGCATTCTTTCCGCCATACTACATTGCTTTTTCAATTTGAGTCTAATTCTCTCTCCTACTTATAAATTATATTTTCATTTTAATCCTCAATAGAGTGCTTGCCCCCAAGTGTGGCCAAGGCCCATGACAAGAGAGAGAGAGCACTAGCATGGGAATCAAGAGGCCTGAGCTCGAGTCCAGGCTCTCCCATGAATGAGCTATGTGACTCTGATAAATTGCATCTTTCTGGGCCTCCATTTCCTTATCTATAATGTAGGTGTGTTGGGCTAGGGAATCTCTTAACGTCCTTTCTGGCTCAACACTCTAAGATACTAAATATTCTAAATATAAATTTCTACCTATATGGAGAATATTTTATTAAAAAAGAAAAATGTAAAAAGAAAAAAATACAAACTGACATACATTTTGCTTTATTGCCATTTGCCTAATATATCTTAGCAAAACATATTACTACTTGACCAAAGTTGGCCCAGTTTCTTTTAACATATAAAGTTATGTATTTCTGCTGTAAAGTTTTCCTCTGTCTCATTAGGGAATTTTCCTAAGCCAGCTGAATGCAAGCTCTAATTTCTATTAAGAGGGAAAGGTTTCTGACATAGGCCCAGTTAACAGACCACAAATCTGTCATCCAAGGACCAGCCTAGTTAAATTCAGACAGGCTCTTTACCAGAGGAAAAGCCATGAAGTGATGGATGATTCCAAACCAAATCTAAATAATATTTGTAAAGTACTTTGCAATCCTTAAAGTGCTACATAAATGTTAGTTATTATTGTTAGTATTATTATTTAAAACTGCTCACTAAAACCTAGAGAGATAGGAATTTGCCTTGGTGAAAGGGGAGTGGAAAAAAAAATTCATGGATCCTTGAAGTATGGAAATAGAAATTATGTGACTTAAAAAATTTAGCTTTTCCTAGCTGCGTGACCCTGGGCAAGTCACTTAACCCTATTATGTAGCAAAAAAAAAAAACAAAAACAAAATTTAGCTTGAGGATTTTTCAAACTAGCTTTCAGATTATTGAAAATTACTTTTTTGTTGTTTAATGAATTTGCCTCCCCAGTGCTTTGACTTTACCTTGATGTTTCCTTGAAGACAGTGCTCTAAATCTTTGCCAGAAGGGTCATCTGTAAAGAGTGCGAATCCAGACTGGGCTGGCTTTCTCATTCCAGTTTCTTGGTTTAAAGTATTCAAAAATTCTTCCACCGTGGTAGAAGTATCAAATCCAACTACCTGAATAGAAATAACAATCAATTCATGCAATTTAAGGTTTTCATTTTTGTTGTTGTTGAGTCGTCTCAGTAACGGTACAACTCTTCATGACCCCATTTGGGTTTTTCTTGGCAAAGATACTGGAGAGGTTTGCCATTCCTTTTCCAGCTCATTTTACAAATGAGGAACTGAGGCAAACAGGGTTAAGTGACTTGCCCAAGGTCACACAGCTAGTACATGCCTGATGCTGGATTTCAGCTGAGGAAGATGAGTCTTTCTGACTCCAGGACTAGCACTCTATCCACTGTACCACCTAGATGCCCCAACTTAAGATACAGGAAAAAATAAAAATTAAGAACAATATAAAAATAAAATGGATATATATTTATTGTTGTTGTTGTTGGACATCATGGTAAAGGGAACAACATTTATTAAGTACCTACTATGTTTCAGGCACTGTGCTGAGCACTCAAATATTATCTCATTTGATCCTTATTTAAAAGTTCATTTATGGGAATATCATAGCACTTTTCAAGTAGAGAGATAATCAAATGCAATATCTACTTAGAGTATAAGCTCATTTGCAAAATAATATAGACAAAAATAATGTAAAAATGAGCAAATGTCTCAAAAATGGTGAAAAGATGCTAAGGATCTACACTGTAAAAACAAAGTGGATGAAAAAACACTCATTACTAATTGAATCTTGAGCTGGGTCCCGAATTGAGTAAGCCAACCAATATTTATGAAGTGCTTACTATGTGACAGGCACTGTTCTCAGCACTGGAGGAGATTAGGTTTAATATCTAAGAAAACTCAAACTGTTCAATACTTCCAAATCTGATCTCTTTGCCATCAATGTTTTTCTCCAGTGATGCTATATGGCTATGAATAACAGAAAACCATTGAAAGGAGAACAAGTAACAAGTAACAAACTCCTTGAAAAGACCGAATAAATTAATGGCTTCATAAGAGAGCAAGAAAAATTAGAACAAAATCAAAAGGTTGAAAAAATAAAAGAAAGTGTAAGGTATCTGCCATCAAATAAAACTAACCTACAAAATTGGTCAAGGATAGGTAATTTAAGAATCATTAGAATCCCTGAAGACCATGATTAAAAAGAAAAAAAAACCCAAGCCTGGACACTATGTTTCAGGAAATCACAAATGAAAACTGGCCATATCTAAGAGAATTAGAGGATAAAATGTGGACAGAAACAATCTACCAATCATCTCCTGAAGGAAACCTCAAAAGGAAGAGTCCCAGCAATGTCATAGAAAAAATCCAGAGCTTACATATAAAGAAAAAATACTTCAAACAGTCAGAAAGCATTCAAATACCAAGGAATCTTAGTAAGGATCACACAAGACCAGGAAATTGTACTATAAACAAAAAGAGATATTGGAATATAATATTCCAAAAGGCAAAAGACAGGCTTACAACAAAGGGTAACTTATTCTGAAAAGCTGGGTATAATCCTACAGGAGAAAAAAAAATAAACCCTTAATGGAACAGAGGACTTTCAAGTATTCCTAATGAAAAGACCAGTGCAGAGTAAGAACTCTGAAATGCAAACACAGAAGTTAAGAGAAACCTAGAAAAGTAAATTTGTATGAACAATTGGAAGGGGCTATAAAATGATGAAGTGCTAACATTTTAATAGAGTAAAAAGAAACAAGTGTCCCTTCAAAACCTTAATGTCTCTAAAGGATAAGGAAGTAGCTAAATAAGAAAAATTGAAGGCTTAGGCATTGATTGATTGATTCTGTTCTGAGGGTTGAAGAGGAAATGTAAAGGGGAGGGTAAAGGAATACACTAGTGTAGAAAGGAGGAAGAAAAGGGGGAAATATATAATTACTCATGATCACAGAATATAAATAGCGAGGAAGAGGTGTGAGAGTGAACATCTAGGTGAACCTCACTCTTATCTGAACCACACAAAAGAGGGTTGAACATGCTTTCTTCTCTCCCCATCCTTCCCCTCCCACCAAACTTATCAGGTGGGGATTGGGGTAGTGGTTAAGATGGAGGGGGGAAAATGGAAGAGGGAAGAGTCATAAGCAGAATGAACTTATTGGTTTTTATTTGTCTCATCCCACCTTCTTCCATTAGAGGTTGGAGATCAACATCATTTCTCGTGTACATCCCTCCTGTCCCGCCCTTACTCAGGGCTGACCTTCTCACATCAATGCTGGCCTAGGCTATTGTCCTTAGGGCCCTAGCTCCCACATGGTCATATGGTTTCCAGTCTCACCTTTATCCTACTGTACAATATGCAGATTTAAATTTTTTGGCTTTTTATTTATTTTTTTGAGACTAGATCTCCTTATCTCACCCAAGCTGCTAATAAAGCAGCCACTCATTGGCCTGACCCCACTGCTGACTGGCACAAAAGCTTTGACCTCTCCTTCTCTGTTCCCAACCTGGGCTGATTCACCCTTCCTTAGGTAGCTTTTTAGCCCCTTGCTCCCAAGCGCTCACTATATTGGCACCAGGCTTTGAGCAGATATCCAATCAGCTCACTATAACTCAGAACTCCCCTACACAACCTATCCTAATCCTAACCTCCCTAGTAACTGGAATTACAGGTGTGTGCCATTATGCTCAGCATATTTGACTTTTTTAAAAAAAAATGAATAATAGAGTCAAGGTATAGTTTTAAGTCAAGGGTAATGTTTTTGCCTCAGTCTATATAAGAGGATCTATAGGTTTTAATGAAAGAGATCAAGGAAATATAATTTGGAAAGTGTAATGCTAACAATAATTGATAATAATATTCAGATATATGCTATGAATTTATCTTAGAACTATTGATTTGATTTTGATTTAGTTTAAAAGTTATTTTCCTCCCTTTAGAGATACAATGGTATTGGCCAGAAAAAAAGTTCTTAGTTTCTTACATACAGGCATGCCTCAGAGATATTGTGGGTTGGGTTCCAGACCTCTGCAATAAAACAATTACTGCAATAAAGAAAGTCAAACACATTTTTTTATTTCCCTGCATATATAAAAATTATGTTTATACTATACTGTAGTCTAGTAAGTGTGCAATACTATTATGTCTAAAAGGTATACATATCTTGATTAAAAAATACCTTATTGCTAAAAAATGCTAACTATCATACGAGCCCTCAGCAAGACATAATCTTTTTGCTAGTGGAGGATCTTGCCTCGATGTTGATGGCTGCTGACTGATCAGGGTGGTGGTTGCTAAAGGTTGGGGTGGCTGTGGCAATTTCTTAAAATAAGACAACAATGTAGTTTGCCACATCAATTGACTCTTCTCTTCATGAAAGATTTTTCTGTAGCCTGAGATATTGCTTGATAGCATTTTACCCAGAGTAGAACTTCTTTCAAAATTGAAGTCAATCCTCTCAAATACTCCTGCTGCTTTATCAACTACGTTTATGTAACATTCTTTAATAATGTTGTGTCTCAAGAAATAGGGAGGGAGGGAGAGAGATGGGGGAATGGGCAGTTGGTGGAGCAGTCAGAACACACAACATTTATTGATTAAGCTTGCCATCTTGTTTGGGTGTGGTACTCCAAAACAATTACAATAGAGGACAATTACGAATTATAATTACAAAACAATTACAATAGTAACAACAAAGATCATTGATCACAGATCATTATAACAGATATAATGACAGTGAAAAAGTTTGAAATAATGTGAGAATTATTAAAATGTGACACAGAGACATGATGTGAGCACACGCTGTTGGAAAAATAGTGCCGATAGACTTGCTCAATGTAGGGTTGCCACAAACCTTCAAGCAGTTAAATGAAATGTGATAAAACGAGGTATGCCTGTAATCCTCTTTTTCTTTTTTGTATAATGAAATGCTTGTATTTGTTAATGATTCTTAAGTTCATAATAAAAAAGAAAATTTAATTATAAAATTAATTCTGCCCTCTGCTTTTTTAAGCATGTCACTTTTGATGGGTCTGTTTTACATCTCCTGTTTTGAGCAAAGATTTACTTTTGTGCAATCATCATTGCTAGCTTTTAGTTTTTATGTATTTAAATTGTTTCACTTCCCTCCAGCCCTTTGTGAATACTCATTAAGGTACATGAAAGATTTTGGAAATATTGAACTGCCCTACCTGATATATTCCATTCATGAAGTGTACTGGGATACTGAAGGGCAATGAATGATGGTAAGGATTTCGAAGAAGGGTCGAAAGAATTTCCATTCTTGAGGGTCTTGCTTCTCTATCTCCATTTTGTTGAGTTCTCTCTACACATCGCTGGCAGTAAATAGCATATTTCCCAAATTCTGTCCTGTAACATGTATAGGAAAAAAAAAAGAAAAAGAATCTAAGAAAAGGAAATGGTCTAAGACCAAATTTAAGTAAGATTAGCTAGTGGTTCTCAAATTTTTTTGTCTTAAGATCCCTTTACACTCTTAAAAATTAGTGAGGACTACCATCTCCCAAAGAGCTTTTATTTATATGGTTTATATTTATCAATATTTAATTAGAAATAAAAACATTTTAGTATTAGTATGAAAGTAGTTTTTAACTCAAGAACCTCCTAGAAAGGTCTTGGGACCCTCAAAAGTCCCTGGATGACACTGACTTTAATGGACATATCAAACATTGAGGAATCCTTCCTTAGAGCTAAGCCATCTTAAAACTTTCTATGCTTTTTTGATGGATGTTTTCATTTTGAATAATGCAGATTCCAATAAACTAAGATAGCATTCATCAAACTCTCTCTTTTTAACACTTTAAGTAGCAAAATTCTCTCAAATATAGGTCTCTTTTCACTATCATTGTTGTTTGGTTGCTTTCAGTCATATCCCAATCTTCATGTCCTCATTTGGGGTTTTCTTGGCAAAGAAATTGAAGTGGTTTGCCACTTCCATCTCCAGATCATTTTATAGATGAGGAACTGAGGCAAATAGGGTTTAAGTGACTTGCCCAGGGTCACACAGCTAGGAAGTGTCTGAGGCCAGATTTGAACTCAGGAAGATAAGTCTTCCTGACTCCAGGTCTGGCATTCTACCCACTGCACCACCTGGCTGCCTCACTATCTCACTATCATTACCGCCCCCCCATATAGTATATATGCATTTAGATATATGTTTTGGGTAGGAAAATCTCTAGCAAACTTACTTCCTTTAACTCTATTATTTTATTATCAACTCCAAACTGACTTTAATATAACTATTAAAAAAACTATTTTAAGAAATTAGATAAATACCATTTTATAGATGAATAAAAAGTAAATAATCACAATAGTATCAGGAATATATAATTTAAGTGGAGAATAGCATGAAGAACAGTAGTGTGGGATAACAGAAAAGACATTGAATCTGAAATCAAGAGAGTTGGAGCTTGAATGTCAGTTCTATCACTAACTTTGTATCAAAAAAGTCATTTCTCTTAGGGCCTCAGTTTCATCATTTGTAAAGTGAGATTAATAACACCTGTACTCTCTCCTTCACATGAGGGGATGTCCTTGTAAACTGCAACACCATACAAAGGTGACTGATAACTAATTTTGTGACTTCAAATGAACAAAATGCTACTAAGCCAAAGCAGATGTTGGACACTGATCTTACTATCTCACTTTCTGAAACATTCTAACTCTGCTGACAAAGTGAAGTTTAAGACCTAACCTTTCACTCTGTGCCCAAAGATTCATCGATGGCCTCTGTGTGGGGTAGGGAATTGCGGACACAGACCCTATGGCCTCCTGGGTAAGTCCCTACCTGTGCTGGGGCTCCCTCTAGTTGGCACAATCTAGTCAGATTATCATCTGTCGGAGAATCAGAGATTGTCAGAGTTGGAAGGGACCTCAAAAGCCACCAAATCCAATGTGGGGATGAAAAATAAATCCTCCCCTACAATATTCCCAGTAAGTGGTCATCCAGCCTTTGGCTGAAGATTGTTAGTAAGGAGGAAGCCCAGCACCTCTTTAAAACGATAACAACTCCAACAAGCCTTCGACCTCTTCAGGCAGTCCATTCCATTTTTGGATAGCTAAGTGCATAGAGTGCCAGGCCTGAAGTCAGGAAGACTCATCTTCCTGAATTGAAATCTGGCCTCAGACACTTAGTAACTGCGTGACCCTGGGCAAGTCACTTAATCCTCTTTGCCTTAGTTTACTCATCTGTCAAATGAGCTGGAGAAGGAAATGGCAAATTCTCCCACTATCTTTGCCAAGAAAACCCCAAATGGAGGTCACGAAGAGTTGGACATGACTGAAAGACTGAACAACAAATTATAAGAAAGTTGTTTTTTTCCCCTAATATCATGACCAAAATATTCAGGTCCACATTCTCCTTTGAGGCCTAGAATATCACTCTAACTAAGCTGTCAAGTTCTTTTACCTGGGGATTGATGTGCTGATTGAGTGGATTCTTAACCTTAAAACTTTTTTTTTTTTAATAAGAAAATAACCCAGCACCAAGGAAATTAGGAAAAAAGTGTAGAAAATATAGCTCCTTGCTCCAAGTGAACTTTGGGAACTGTATCTTCAGGGTCAGTTAATTTCCAGTACAAGGCCATTTTACCTATAGAAAAGAAGATTTCTGCTAACTTTTCTAGCATTTCAAGGACTATCTTGAGGAAGAGGGAATAGCCTTGTTCTGGGTAGCCCTTGAGTTCAAAACTAAGAGTCTGGGGTTGTCATTTGGTTGGCTCAATGCATACTTTGAATCAGCGTTCCTCTTCAGGTGAAGCTTCAGGAGCCAAAGGAATGGATGTTGTGGAAGAAAGAGTCCAACGCAGAGAGCCAAGAGCTGCCAACCCTGGACCCAAGGGAAAAAAAAAAGATCATCACTGGAGAAAGCTACTCTTGATGTGTTCAGGCTCAGGTTTGTAAGACATTAATAACAAATCAGAACATAGGAAACAACATACTGGGTCACACCAGTATTCATTCAACTCGGTAATGCATATCTGACAGGAAAAGATGAATTTTTACATAATGAGATTGAAGAGAGCATGTGCAGAGGGGCCCTTCTTGCTCCCTGCCATACACGTGTGCATGACTCAGCACTGAGGAGGATTCCTGTTTTGAGATAATCAGACCTTATCAGATGCTGAGCAGGTCAGGGAGATGACGGGGTTCTGCCCCAGACTTTCTCTTGTTCTGGCCCTCCAGGTGGCATCATATAGCATGGGGATTTAGGAGGGGAAGGAGAGTTCTCCCCAACCTCCCACCTTGGCTACCATGCAGCCATGAGCACATGGAAGCTAAAGCCCCTATTCTGTCTTGGAGAATCTGATCCCGAGTTTTGGACTACCTCTTCTGTGGTTCTTCTACCCTGATACGGATGTGTCCAGGCTTGGAGGCCACTTTGTCAGCTTGAGAGGTTTGGAGATACTGATTCTTTAGTTTGGTGCTGGCTGAACTTTGGAAGGAGTCCCCGATAAACTGCTTCAGGACTATGGAAGAGAAGATAGCCTCTAGCTGGGTGCTACACCCAATCCACAACCGGGCTTTCCAGAGGACACTAACTCTGAGGTAGACAGTGCAGAACCAAGGTGAAATATAAAATGTCTAACTCGCAGTTCCTACAACCCGCTTCAAGTTTAGAGGACTTTAAGAATCAACCCCCTGAGTTTTATCAAAGTATTTTATTGCACTCTTCAGATCTTTCTACCACTATCCTGGGCACCCACAAGGAAGATCTGCTTAAAGTTTAGGTTTGGGTTCATGTCCTCCCCCAAAGGAGGCAGTAGAAAAGTAGTCGATGGGCAATGTGAATCAGAAATGGGATAGTTATCTATTTCCTACACACATAAGAAATGCTGAACACGAAACACTCATACGCACCCAAGGGCAACAATAACAACAACAACAAACTTGAACCAAATAAGTATAATTATTGTCATACCCTACTGGGATGCTGATATTTAAAGGCATCTAACATGAAGCAGTTTGCAAGATTTGGATTAGGCATTTTACATTTTCCCCCAGCTCCATATTGTCTTCCTCTGAGAATCAATATTTGTTCTCCCAATACCAGGAAAGAACAAATACAGAAAAGGCAACCCCAAATCCAAGACCAAGTTTACGTTGGCAGAGCATGAAACTTTAGCTGCCATGTTTTCCCTGCTGTGCAGTTTTGAGGGTGAGGAGGAGAGGGGAGGGGGTCGTCCTTCACACCCCTTATGGGAAGTCCCAGAGCTATATGATGCAACCCGGAAGATCAACAGAAGATACAACTATGGGCACTCACTTCATTTTTGAAAAACAATTATTTTTTCCAATGAACAAAAATCTACCTTCCCTCTCTCCAACTCCCTTTCTTCCCAAGTGAGAAAGAAAGAGTATACATTTTAATATCACATATGGTTAATTAAAACAAATTTCTGCATTGGTCATATTCCCCCCCAAAAGTCTCATTCTAAGTCCTTGACCACTCCATCAGGAGATGGGCAGCAGCATTCATCATGTGAACTCTGGAATCTAGGCTAGTTATTACACCGATCAGTTCCCAAGTCCTTCAAAGTTGTTTATCTTTACAATATTGTTATTATATACATCAGGGGTGGGGAAGCTACAACCCTTAAGGATTTGTTCTGTGAAGTTTGGATTCAGTCAAAGGACTGCCCTTGAGGACCTAGAGGACCACATGTGGCCTCGAGACTGCAGGTTCCTCACCCCTGATCGTTCTCCTGATTCTGCTCATTTCACTCTGTATCAGTTCATACAACTTTCCCCATGTTTCTCTGAAGCCACCCCATTATTTCTTTTAACACAATAGGTTTCCATCACTTTTATATATCATATGTTGTATAGCCATTCCTTAATTGGGGGCACCTTCTCAGTTTCCAATTCTTTGCCACTGCAAAAAAGAATGCTATAAATACTTTTGTACATCACTGGAGTTTATTTTGCTTAGGAACAATTCCTCCTTCAATCTATCCTCCCTCAAATTCAATCATTCCATATTTATTAATTGCCAACTATGTGCTAGGCACCATGCTAAGTGCTGGGGATATAAAATGAAGCAAAAGACAGTCCTTGCCCTAAAGGAACTTATAATCTAATTCTGATCAGCAAGATGACCAGTCATGGCCCAACAAATAGATAGAAAGCAAGCTATATGCAAGATAAATAGAAAATAATTAACAGAGGGAAGGCACTAGAATTAATCAAGGTTAAAGAAGACTTGTAGTAAAAGATGGGATTTTTAATTGGGATTTAAGGAAGCAAGGGAGGTCAGTAGGCAGAGCACTTGGGGACCCTTCTTTCTTCTCTCCTTTCCCTCCTGTTTCCCTATTGAATGAAATGGATTTCTGTACGTGTGTGTGTGTGTGTGTGTGTGTGTGTGTATTCTTTTCTCCTTTGAACAGTTCAGATAAGAGTAAATTTGAAGGTTCACTTTCTTTTTTAAAGTTTGCTTAGCACAGTACCTGGCATATAGTAGGTGCTTAATAAATATTGATTGATTGATTGAAGTTCTACAGAATCATCAGCTCTTCTTCCTCTGTAGTCAATAAGGGGGTTGCCTCATCATTACAAAGCACCGATCCCCTTTAGCACTGAGTCACCCACACATGGTCAGGTGGAAGAGGGAAGGTCAGCGACCTGTGCATGCTCTACTCAATCCGTAGTTACATTTTAAAACTTAGGTTGATCTATCAGTAGAACGCACTTTGCTCTGACAAATTGCCAGAAAGTGCCAATATTCCTAAAAAAGTAGAGTACAACACGCTGTCTTTAGACAAGACCTAAAAACTACTTAGAAGTTAGAAGCAATTTAAAAGTAAGTTTCATTAAAAAAATAATAAAAAAAAGGACAACCATGCTTGGCAAAATATAAGTTATATGTGTGGAGTTACTGGAAACAAGAAAAGGAAGATAAAGGGAAGATGTTTAATCTTTAGGGCCAAAATTCTCCAAAGGATCTGTGATCGCGCTAATGCTCCCTTCGTGGGTATAGAGTACAATGCACGAATTCTTGCCTTCTCACCCTCTGCACTTTGTCTCCATGTTCTGCCATAGATCTTTCACAGGGAATCAACTCACTTTATTGAAGGCTGACCTCTAGTGTTTTTTTTTCTTTTAAAAGATTAATAATATTCTTTGATTATGGGTAATTTGGAATGATCTTGAACTGTAATTTTTCTTTGCTATTAAGAGTTGACTTTTTTTCTCGTTCATTGTTGAATGAATCAATAATTCCTACAAAAAATGACACGTTGTAGGATTCTTCTCTGAGAAGAAGGAATTCTCAAAAATCTCAGAAGGTTAAAAAAAGCCTTTTAGCAAACAACAACAACAAAAATCTAATATAATTGTAAATTACAGCTTCTGAATGCTGGATTAAAATAGAGATGCTAAGTGTGAGGGTTGAGTCAAACATCCCTCTGTACCTACTTATATAATTAGATCATAGAATTGATAGAAACCTTAGAGATTATATAATTTAACCCTTTTACCTTATAAAGGAGCAAACTGAGGTCAAGGTCCAGAAAGGCTTGGAAACCAGGACTTTTGACTTTACAAATAGAACACAAATACAAATATTTGTTTTACGTAATATACTTGAACTTCAGTCCTTTCTTACTGTTCATGCATGTTATTGTTTTCATTATTGGGGTGTCATAAATGGCAGTTAGGGCATTTTCAGTAGAAGTATACAAGGACTTTGGATTCACCTTGTCTGTTATTCTACACAGAATGAATCAATTTGCCAAAAGAGTAGTTTGGAGATGAAGGGAAAAAAAGGAAGTATTTACAAAGCAGTGTCCTGGGAATTGGAAGAACTAGAATTGGAACTAGAGTCCAGAAGGGTTTTATAGATTTAAATATGACAGTAAGCCTGAGAAAGATGACATATTGGTCAGTATCATGAAAAAAAAATGAACAGTTGATCATACCCTAGCATTTTGTTGAATAGCATTAAAAACAATGACGCTTAATTAAGAAAACTGTTTCGTAGTCCTAATTACTTCTGTGTGTGTCACAAAACTGAAAGAATCAGAGGCACCTGCAATGGCCCAGGTTGATTCTGTGCTTGTCTTCGTCTTGTCTGTTTAATGAGTTGACAACAAATTTCATTCTGTAGTTCAGGGTGTGTGAGGCAGACCTGCAAAGCACTCTGGGCCAAAGATATGTGGTAATCGATAGCGGGTGAGTCAACGGCAGCATTTATAAAGAGCTGGCATGTCTGTATATGAAGAAAAACAAGGACTTTTTATTTGAAGTATGAATAAAATGGCATTCTCCAGTAATGACATTAATTTGACTTAGGTCTTGATAGCAATTTCCCTTTTTTTTCTTTTTTTTTTTAGCCAAAATAACCATTATGTCCCAAGGAAAAACGGAGGCAATAGAGTGATTAAGTAGTTTGCTCAAGACCTTTTCATTTCAACTCAGTGTAACTTCAGTCCTAAGTCCTTTTAGTATAAATATTTCTATCATATTATTTTCATAATTTAAAAGCATAAAATACAACATGACAATGATTGTGTAAATCACTCAGTATATTTATGAATAGCTGAAAGTGCTAATGTAAATTAAATTGAGATGGAAAGTTTCTTAAGAGTTCTATTCCAATCACATGCTTTCAGACAGAGCTATACTAGACCATCATAGGAAAAAAAATCCATTACTGTGTTGCGAAAATTAGACATTATTTTTGAAATGTAAGGGGAGAATAGGAAAGAGAAGTATCTTTATTGTGTTAAGATATATTTAGGAAATAAGGCCTCCTCTGGTAATGCAGTGCAATGTTTAATATCTCTGATATAAAATTACCTTATAGCTAATATAAATTCCTCATTCTGGAGTTGAAGTAATTTCTTTTGCTCTGTCCTCATTAGGGAAGAGTAACAAGGTCTGTCCATGAGCATTTTAAATACTTAAAGGCCCATTAAAGCCACCCTTTGAATTTATCCAGGGATAGTTCCTAACACTTTCCCAAAGGTTTTTCCAATGGTTAAGTCATCTATTTGAACTTATTTTCTATGGTTTTCATGTCTCTCAAGTTTTATCTATCTATCTATCTATCTATCTATCTATCTATCTATCTATCTATCTATCTATCT